TCCCATTCTTCTCCACATATTCCAACTTCTCGGATTATTTGCTCAGCATACAGACTGAATAAGTATGGTGAAAGGATACAACCCCAACGCACACCATTCCTGACTTTAAACCACGCAGTATCCCCTTGTTCTGTTGAAATGACTGCCTCTTGATCTATGTACAGGTTCCTCACGAGCACAATTAAAGTGTTCTGGAATTCCAATTCTTCACAATGTTATCTATAATTTGCTGTGATCCACGCAGTCGAATGCCTTTGCACAGTCAATAAAATACAGGTAAACATCTTTCTAGTATTCTCTGCAGTCAGCCAGGATCCATCTGACATCAGCAATGATATCCCTCGTTCCATGTCCTCTTGTGAATCCAGCTTGAAGGTCTGGCAGTTAATTAGTAAGTTAATTTCATGTTAGTTGGAGAAACAACAGGAGGAGGACATGCGAGTTCTTCCTGCTGTACTTCCAACTGTTATATCAGGTTAAGATAATCAAAAAATAAATTATTAAAAACTTAACTATATTTATTCACCACTCTGGTCCTATGGAAACTCATGAGAAACATTTGGAACGAGCGTGGAATTAAAGAGTTGCAAAAAAGCAACGGTGAAAAAAACAATACAGCCATATGCCACATAACATTCGTTTGGGCCTTGTCTGGCCGCATATATGTCCACGGTTGTTTTTTTTTTTTTTGGAAATTTGATTCTTTATTAGAACTCTTTAAAGTCATGTCTGCAAACATTTAAAGCAGGAAAAGAAAAAGAAAAAACCCACCTCATCATTCTTAACCCAGAAGGTAGAAGCAGGACCTACTAGAACAGGGATTCAAGATGGGCTTCCACCTTAACCTCTGCATGGCTCCCGCCTCGCGGCATAAACTACCTTCCAAGCTTGGTAACCCAGACCTGTGCAGTGTCTGGGGCCCGCTGGGTGCCGGCCTCCGGGGCAGCGTCTGGGCCCCGCTGGGCGCCCGCCTCCGGGGCAGGAGTCTTCTCTGAACTCTGCGCCTGGTAATGGCTGTAATAATTGGCTATGTCCTCCTGGTAATAAGGTCACCCAAATATCAAGACCTCGGCCTCACCTCTGGGGTCCAACTGAGTCACTCAGAAAACGGTCTGTAACACACACTTGCTGTAGGGACTGTGCTCTCCGCCCAGACCAAAGATCGCTTCCACCAGCCATTCGCAAAGGTGAACTCCATACGATATACATGATCACACAACGTCTAAATCACATAATGTCCTAGTTCACAGAACGTATCATGGACATCGAGCAGCGCATGACTGTACATGAAAGACTAAGATGGATTACTAATGCTGCTTGAACTGTGCCTTTCCTTTGTGCGCAGTGAAGAAAGGTAGGGGAACTTTGCTCCCAGACTCTGTACAATGCCTGGGCAGGCAGGGTCTGCTCCTGCTCAGCTTTAGTGGGTCCAAACGTGACAGAGTACGCACTTCTTAGTTACTCTGCCACTCTGCATTGCAGTAGCTGTTGTCATCAAAAGCATTCACTCTTACATATGTGCAAACTGTTCTTCCAAACTGGCAGCAGACACTCAACTCTTCCCTCTTTATTTCCTTCCTTTCTTTCCCTTCCCCTTGCTTCGGATGTAGTTAGTTGCAGGAAACAGAAATATTTATTATTCTATTAGAAACCTTAGCAGTTTTAAGCAGAAAGAAGTTAATACAGGAGATTAGGTGCGTATTCTAGGCTAGGCCTTCAGAGGCCAGAAACAACATCACAGAACTGGCCCAGCCAGGAAACTGCTACCTCTGCCCGTATGAAGGTAGGAAAGCAGGAGCCACCAACAGAATGTTGACTTTAAGAACAGAAAGAACATACCTTATAGCTGCCATCCGGACATCAGGAAGCCACCACCACCACCACCACTTCTGCAACTTCCTATCAATACCCAAAAAACACGTGGCCGGACGCTGGAACACTTTTGCAGAAAAACTCAATGTCTCCATGACTACGTACGTCAGCAGAGAAAGCCAAAGACACAGAAGATGTGCTCCACCTCATTTCCACCTTCCAAATTTCAAGAAAGTTCACCTAACTGGGGGAACCTACTAGACACCCAGAACACTATGTGCAAGGGAGTTGGGGAAACAGAGTGTTTAGCTTTCCAGCCTCTGCATACCAGGGACGTCCACTAGAAGGAAGTTGGAGGGGATGCTGAATTCCAGCCCTCATGTCCACCACAGCCTTCCCCACCAAAGATTAGTGGGAGTTACTCTCTTAACCCCAAGAGACTGTCAGAGAAAATTTGGTATGCTATATTAAATGTCTTCCTTAGTTTGTTAATGCTTTAACGCTTCTGCAAAGTTCTGCACATGAAGCCAGGGCCGTTTCTTACTAGAAGACACTTTTATGTGGAAGAAGAGCTAAAACTCACTGAAAAATGAGAAAGAAGTATTACGATCTAAACATTAGAATACTTCGATACTAATATGCTCATACAGTGTGACTCAGTGGGTGTTCAACATATACTGGTTAAATGACAATTCTCACTATTTTCTATTCTATTTCTATTCATTTTTCTCCTTGTTTCAGCTTCAAATTTAAAATAAGAATCCTCTCCTTTTGCTGCAACAGAAAAGCTACCTTACTTTTAATCAACAGCAGAGGGCTGCCTATTCCCAGACTAGTCTGTGAGTTTTAGGAACGACATAGCTGCAGTGTTTTTCTTCTAAGAGAAGGGGTGGGGGTGGGGGCTTTTCTAAGCCCTCTTTTACTTTTGTAATGAGCCAGAAAATAAATGGCAAACGACAGTCATGGGATGACAGCCCGCACCAGAACACAGTGATTTTTGTCTTTCCCACCAGACTGTGAGCTCCTTAAAGGCTGAGACTGTTTCTTCTCTATATATCCTCAGCGTCCAGCACAATGCCTGATACAGAGCAGAAAGTTAATACACGTCATTGAATGAACGGCCCAAATTATAATGGCATAAGTGGAAGACAGTTCATCATCATGGCTCCTGGCTTCCTACCTCACCCTCTTCCTCAATGCTAGAAGAGGACGAGGGAGATGGAAGGAAATTTCAGTCACGGGCCTGGCAGCCAGACCCCCATCACACAAACAGGGCGGGCCTCGCAGGCACATGAAACTTCCCGGAAGTACAAATCCTTCAGCAAGCTCAGGAAATACTCATTCCAAAGGGTGGAGTTTCTGGCCTTCAGCCCTGGTGGCTGACTGACCACCTACTTACTGCCACCATTAGTTTTATTTCAGTTGGGCAGAGGGGTGACGCGAGAAGCAGTTAATTGAAAACACAGAGCCTGTACTAAGATGGGGGGAGCAGACCGTGATGACATCTTTGGCAATATTCTGCCCATGAGCAAGCAGCTCTGCCAAAAGAGGATGAGATGAGAAATCCGCACTAGCAGAGCCTGCCTCTGAGTACGGACAACAGCAGGGAAAGTCCAAAGCGGGTACGGCCGGGTTGGAGGCCAGCGTGGGGTTATCTGCAGTGGCAACTCCTGTAGCAAGCAGGAAGATGGGACTGATCAGAAAACCATCCCAGGGGTAAGGCTGCAGTGGTTTCCTCTGATCTCTCCCACAGAACAACACGGGGACATCAGCTGGAGAACTATCTTTAGCCATAACATAGTGGCTACCCTTGCTGAGGGACGACCAGAAGCTGCTACCATTTTCCACAGCCACTTTCCTTCTCTTCTGGCAGCTTTAACTGAGAAACGAAGCTCTGATCGCATCACATAAACATTCTCAAAACACCCAGCCATGACTTTCCTGCATTCATAAACTGCCCACTGTTTACAAACCAAGAACTCCCCAGAGAAACGTAAAGGACATTTGAAGACATCCAGTCACCGAGAGAAGGCACTATTAAAACACTATTAGAACCTACCTAAGCGATAAATCTAAATTACGCTGACGCATTTACACTTAATTGAGTCCAATCTTGATAAAAAGCACATGTGACAGCTTAGTCAGTCAACAAGGACGCTTAATTTTTTTTTTCAATCTGAACTGTTCAGCCTTTTCACTCACACGCATTCCCGGTTTTGAGGCAATCACAAAGAACAGGAGGACACCACATCTCATTTAAAACGGAACAATTCTTTCAAAATGGGCTTCTTTTTAATAATTGTAAGGCAAAACCGACATACCTTATTAAGCTGAGAAGAGACAGCTTTGCCTTCTTCAAATCCTGGAATTTAATTTACTTTTCAGAAAGAACACCTGTGGGAAGTTCTTCAACTTCTTTATACTTTTCCAGCTTTATTTTTTTTAATATTAATGAAGACAGTGAAACATACAATGAACGTCCAACACTGACCAAAAACCAAAAAACCATACCTGTTGCCATAGAGTCGATTCCGACTCAGAGCGACCCTCCCTACAGGACAGAGTAGAACTGCCCCACAGGGTTTCCAAGGAGCAGCTGGAGGATTCGAACTGTGGACCTTTTGGTTTGCAGTCGAGCTCTTAACCACAGAGCCACCTCTCAGGCTACTAACCAAAGGTCTGCAGTTCGAATCCACCAGCCACTCCTTGGGAACCGTATGGGGCAGTTCTACTCTGTCCTATAAGGTCGCTAACGACTGACACTTGTTGCCAACCCATCTGCATACTCTCCCAACCTGGTCCCCAGGTGTGGGTAAGAAGGATTTCCGGCAAAGAGGAAAAGCTAAGGTGATGACCATTCCCTGGAGAGTCTCCAGGTCAAGTCCACGGTCGGCGGGCTCCCGCCAGCGCAGGTGGCCCAGCCCCGGGACGCTGAGCAGCGGGCGCTCGCCGGTCGGCTGCTGTCCCGCCCGAGCCCGCGCACCGGCCTGGGCGGGGGGAACGGGCTGGGGCGAGGCGGCCCCCGGCGCACACAGCCCCTCCTGCCGGGCCCCCCCCCCCCTTCCTCGGCGGGTTTCCCAAGCCGAGGGGGAGAGGGCACAGGCCGCCGAAGAAGACGCCACCCCGAAAGCAAGCCCGCTGAGGGCAGCGCGACGGGACGCCCGCCCTGCACCCCGCGACCCCCGCACCTCGTCCTCCGGGAGCCCGAACACTTCCACCGCGCAGGCTGCCATTTCCGTAGGGTTCTAGCAAACCGGACTCTCGCCCCGGCCCGGGCTGGCCGCGTAGTGAGGCGGAGGAGGGGCGGAGCTGGAGGAAGAGGAGGCGGCGCGCCCCCGGCGCCAACAGCGCCTCCCGCGGCGAGCCGGCGCCACTGCCCGAGTAAGTGCGCGGGAAAGGCGGCGCGCTCCCC